TTTTTTTTTTTTTTTATTTATTTAAAAAAAAAAAAAAAAAAGTTAGTAGCATTCTATGCTATTTTTAAACTTGATCCTTCACTGAGTGAAATGAGAGTATTATCTTGATGGACTGCAGTACTAGGAATTGTGTGTGAGGACTTAACTGCTGTGCTACGATACTTGTGCAGTGTTAGTACGTCGGTAATGGAGTCCCGTCTGTCAAGGTGATTCTGTCAGGGACGGCAACATGCACTTCAGTACAGTTATTGGAGCAACCTCGTTTTAATATATATATGTATTTTATATATATATATATGTATATATATAAAATTCTGCTTGATACTTCATGTATTTTCAGATATCTAATATTTAAAAGCATCCTTTATCACTGCTAAATTAGCCAAACCAGTACAAAATTAAGTGCAAGAAAAATACCGATTCACATAGTTTTTGCCAGTAATACAAAAGGGACTATTCAGCTTCAGACATTTACAGCCATTTAGGAATTTTGATTTAGCGTGACTAAGGGAAACGTTCCTACATTCAAAAGATGCCTCGAAATAATTGGCGTTCCGTTTTGTAACGGGAAAACTAGTTTTTACAGAGATTACCTACTGGTTAGTGATGGGTGATGGAAAACAGAAGGAGGAGTTGGTGCTGTCCTTGACTGGTTGCCTAAAAACCTAAGTCGGAAGCAGTTTGATGACCCCCCCTGGAGATGGGACAGGAGGTTTTTTTTTTCCTTTTAACCACTAGCACCTTTGTCCTCGACAGGAGATTTCTTATGCTCAGAAGGATGCTTTAGCATTTCCCAAAACACATTCCAGATTGGTTGGAGAGGAAGAGGAAAGTAGTGGTTTATGAAGGCACACCCATGCTGAATTTGCAGGAAAAAAAGAGGAAGGAAACAGAAAGCAGTACTGCACAATGCAGTTATAATACAAGGCTCATTCTTGAAACCTGAATATCATGCTAGAAGAAAATCTAGATATGTGTAATATTTTGAAGAAATATTTTGAAGGCAATATTATTTGTTTTTTGTTTTTCGTTTTTTATCAAAAAAGAAAAAAAAAGTGTTTCTGTGTAAATGTGGATAGAATGCTATTTAAGAAGGGAACTGAATATTTGTATTGCAGCCTTAAAGAAGCACATTTTTACTGCAATATATATATATATTTTTTTTTTTGTAAACTACGGCCTGCAACTCAGCAGACCATGACTGAATGCTTTTGAAAACTTGTAGATTACAAACATGAAATCACAATTAATATCCTCTAAAAGTAATTTCAGAGCTTTCACGTCTTAAAAAAGGACAATGTGTACTGCTTCACAAGGTAATGCAGCTAATCAAAAAAAAAAAAAAAAAAAAAAAAAAGTATTTACATAATGAGCAATTCTACAGAAGGCGATCATCCCCATGTAAGCACTGCTGATTATATCCCACGCTGCTTTTAACAAACTCTACCAGATTGGATCCAGTCATCAGCACTTTCAGAGAATCCTTAAAAGCCTTTTATGGGTCTTTACATTTAGTGCAGAATGATGTTCTTCAGGTAGAATATGCTGGTGAGGGAGGACAGTGTCAACACAAGGTACCAGCAGGAGAAGAGGACTTCAGCGTCACCGGTGATCCCGTACTGGGCTGTACTGGGAGCTGCAAAGAGAAGAAAAAGGGGTTAAGTGAAAAATTTCCACTTAGATCCCCAAATTCTTAGTTTTCATTCATTCTCCCAAGAGAACTGTCGGGGCAGCAAAAGCATTGTTCTGAAAACTGGAGAAAACGCTGCAAAAGTAGCCGAGCCCTCCCGCTACACTGCTCGGTGAATGTTGCTTTTTCTTTTTAAAGGGGATAAATTGTTGTTAAGGCAAACATTTAAAAATGTGAGTACTCAACATCGGATGAGCGCTTCATGTTTAAGCATCTGAATAATTTATCTGTTTTTAAGTTACTGAGCATTAAGATATCCACTGAAATCCACGAGAGGTGAATATGTTTAGCTCTGTTGGAAAAGAGCTCATTTTCTGCCTAACTTTAGATGCCAAAGTTTGACGGTTTTGCTTAGCCAAAGACAGTCATGTTTATTCTCAGTCTCTTTGAAGAAATTATATTTACTTGCTTTAATACAAAGTCTTTCTCAAATTGCTAGGTAAATATTACGGTAAGTGCATGCAAAGAAAGTTAAAATATATGAAAACTGTGCCGAGAAAGAAGTGAAGGAGGAATAATGTGCAGCAGCTGTCTGCAGGCCACCCTGACCGCGGCGTGGGGAACCCTCCCGGGCAGAAACCAAAGACTTTGGCCTTGTAAAGCCACGGGAGGACGAAGGAAAGGACCCGTTAGCTCACCCTGCGCTGAGCCGAAGCCATCAGGATGATGCTGTGGGGATGTTCGGTTGCTAGATAAACACTGGAGGCTCACTTTGGCAGACTTCTGTATGAAACTTCTCTCAAATCAAGTATTTTTCATTGGTACAGTGCACGAAAGCCAACCTCTTACGGTTGTGCGCAGCATCCCGTGCTCCTTGGCTGATCACTGGTATCAAGGGTTTTGCTTTCCAGACTATATCAATATATGACAGATTATTCTAAAACACAAAATCTGTGCAAGTCTCGTGTCGAGAGCTGTTTCTACAAGCAGGCATCGCTTATGTCAGGGGCGCTTTATTTAGAGGCAAGTTGTAGAATTTGCTTTTTTTAACTTGATTGACCCAATGTCTGCCAGAGACACAGATGGAGGTTAGCTGGTGGATGCTGAGCAAGACGGACCCACGTCCTGGTGCTCAAGGCCTTTTCCTTTCAGAGGGCAGAGGTGTCAGAAAATCACGAGGGGAACTGGCACTTCCAACCTCATTCCCGATGACCCCTCCTGAGCGCGCTGGGGATGCTCAACCCAAAGGCTGCGCTGAAAGAAGGGAGAAACCGCTAATTCGGCCACTTTGAAAAACACGTGATCTGCGTGTGAACGAAGTGGGGAGGGTACTGGGAGCCTCGGGTTGGTGAGGGGTTGGAGGATCCCACCTCTTCGGCAGGATCTCTCCTTCCACCGCGTTGTGCAGCTGCCCTGAGCTGTTCTCAAGGCATGGGGGTGTCCGGACTGAGAACACCAAGAGATGGCCTGAAGATGAGCCATCGGCTCTATCTGCAGGTACGTGGCAGACGTACGGACACAGAGCAGGTACCAACGGGGCAGAAGATGGTTTTCCTGGGGCCAAGCCCAAGCCCAGGATCCGTCTCTGGCAGCGCCGCTGCCCCTCGCCAGTGCCAACCCCCCTCTGGCAGGGACGCACCAGGGTACGGCGCACGCCGCGCTTCCCAGCAAGCAAACTTCACCAAATCTGCTTCTTCTCCGGGCAGAGAGGAGCAGGAGGAGGAGGAGAAGTGAAGCACCCTGACGGCGGGTGCGGGCTGAGCTGCCGGGGTGCGTGGTGTGGGCAGGATGGAGCCCAGGGAGGAGAGAGCAGGGTCTCACCGCGGGGTCGGTACC